CTCTCTCTCTCTCTCTCTCTCTCTCTCTTGTTCTCTCTCTCTTACAACGTCCATTTCGGCCACGGCCGGTGGCGAAAAGTGCAAGAACTGGGACTGGCCAAGGACTATTATAGTGCCTTGAAAATTAGTAATAATAATATAGCACATTATAGGCTCTACAGCATGCTCAATGCACTTTACTGTTTGTTTGACAGCTAGTATAACCCAAGACGGACTAAGACTGTCCCCGTGGTTTTATACACCCCCGCATAATTTAGCAAAATTTGATCATTTTTGCACAATTTCTGATTATTTTCCTTTATCATTCTTTGTTAAAATTAACGGAATCGCACAATTTCACATGTTTGGATAATTTCAGAATTTTTCTTGCATAAAATGACGGGTACAGTATTACCCCCAGCAGACCCCCTGAGAACACTCAGCAACATGCTCGGTTTCCCGGGAATCGTACAGTGCAAGCTGCAGATTTCTCGCGCTCACACACTAACAAAATGACAAGGTAACTGTCAATACCCGAGTGAAGTGGGGAAAATATGCGTTAAGTGCCTTTCCCAAGAACACGACCTCGGGACCCTGACGAGATTCGAACCCACGACCTTACGGTTGTGAGTCCGAGAGCCTTACCACTAAGCCACCGACTCTATGCTATAGAGACGCCAACTGTTACATCGGTCAGTGTCTAAACTTATGTTTTACCCTGCCCTTTTAACACATTCTGGTGTGCCGGGCGGATTAACTGACATTAGTTAAAGGTCTACTAGTTTATACAATGTACAAGAGTGGGACTTGTGGCAATGATCAGTTTACACGTTCCCTATGCGTTAATACAGGCTTAGGGGCAGCCATTGGACATACTGGTGGTTACAGTTTATTGTTTGTGATGGCCTGGCAAAACGGAGCAAATGCCATGATTTCACATTTAAAACTGACACGACTATGAATTCCAGTTCATTTCCTTTCGTGTCACAACTTAAATCTATCAATAATAATATGAAACCTCAATACATGTACCTGTGTCTAGCCGAAGCGCAAAGCGGAGAAAGTACATTTGATGGGAGGCAATTATTTTCGCGCACGTTCGGGTATATTTTAATGAAGTAATAAATAAACGCTTCTGATTTTTTTAGATGAGCTGTCTAATAATACAAGTGTCTGTTTAAAAATAGAAAACTGCCAGTGCGTGCAAATACTTGGTTGTCTAGACATATTTTAGCTGATTTCACACGTCGTGGTTGGGGGAGGAATATAATGGTTCAGTATAAAGTAATACATGTAGTACCGCCGTGTGAACCTACGAGGAAGTACTAAGGAAAACAACACAGATCCCAGTGAGAGATGGGGTGGGAAGATGGCGGTGGCGATGAATTGGACATAGGTCTATATCAAGATTACTGTCAGGAAGGCAGGCAACTGCATTGCAAAGAAAGTGTTGGATTGAAATCCACAGAGGAAAAGATCAAGTGGAAGACCACGTGGAACCTGGAGAAGAGTCACAGATTGATGTTCAGAAAAGTGGAAAGACATGGAATAACACACATTAAGAGGCTAGCCCAGGATAGAGAAATGTGGAAAGTGTTTGTTCGTGGCCAATACCCTGGTCCAGAGAGAGAAAAGCAACTACGATCATGATGATGACGTGTGAAGCAACTTTTAAGATTTCGATGTTGACAGAATATTTTGATATCATTCGGCTTCCGAGCCTCCGTTTGTGGTAGACCATCAAGTTCATAAAATATATATATATGAGGCAGCGTGGTGGAATCAGGCTCTCGTCAAAATAATCCAAGTGAAGAAACTTGCATTTTTCCGCAGGTTTGTGAATTTTTATCAGATTTTTGTTTTTTGGCTCAGCACCTTTCATGCCCATTAAAGAACTCATTTCCGTGTGGATTTTTCTTAAAAACGTTGATTAAAGGCACACAAAAATGTAAATTTTCAGTTGCCACGAACTCCTAGGCTAAGGAAATAACTAATCGTTGGCGGCCATTTTCTCACTTATTTAACCTCTGAAAGCAGGTGACCCCCACCTCCTTCATTAGCAAATATCTCGACTTGCATTCAATATAAATTGATATATTTTTTCATCCAAATAAAGACAAGTGAACAAGCTTTAAGATGATACCAATAACTCTACATGCCCAAAAATTGTCGAGAGCCTGATTCCACCACGCTGCCTCACATATAGGATAAAAGCAATGCAGTCGATCGTCCAGGGGACCGGCACCCGAACTTGTTTACTCATAGACCTACTGATACACACAATTTGTTGTGGGCTTGAGGATTAATAAACCAATCTCTAGATTCGCCCTGATTTCTTGAAAGTTGTGCGTCAGAGTGTGGGAAGATGTGTACATGTAGTACAATTTATAGAAACTACCCTGATAACACTGAAACCCTAGCCCTTGCAGTGCCACACAGCCTACCACTTGTCGACATAAATATACATTTGAGTAAATTTATCGGGGGGGGGGGGGGCGTCACATATTTTGTGCACACGTTTACGCTTTTAAGTCTTTCGACTTCAGTTCGGAACTTTGAGATTTAGATCTAATTCTTTTTTTCTTTTCTTTTTTTAAGTGTTGTAGGAGATGGTGCATTATGGTTTTGTACCTTACATCTGAACCAGTAAATAGAAACTTGAAAAAGGGGGTAGGATTTTAGGACATGCAAGAGAACCTGCCATTCACGACTGTTACTTGAAATGACGGCCAAGTGCCCAACACATAATGTTTATTTTCCTCGTGTTCAAAGCCTTTTGCGCATCTCGAGGTTTCGTTGACCCTTTCTTTCGTCATAGCCCAGAGCAGGAATCCTTTTATAAATATTACGTGTCACGACGCAGCGCACTCAGACGCTCGTCAATTTTTGGGTATG